TCGTGACACGCTGAGACATAAAATCATAACAACACATAATTAATAATCGGACACGGACACGAGGATTTTTAAAAACAGACGTTTCCCTTCGTTGGTTTTCTTTTACAAGCCTCTGAAAATGAATCTTTCTAAAAAGTCCGGCTAGAGTGGAGATTTAGAGTTTGTGTGTAAAGTGAAAGAAACGTTTTAGGAGCTGACGCCGAAAGTGCGACCAGTGTTTCCCTTTTACGACGACTGACAACGACGGATGACGGACGACGACGACGACGGACGACGATGACGACGGACGACGGACGACGACGACAGATGACGACGGACGACGACGACGATGGACGACGATGACGACGACGACGATGACGACGACGATGGACGACAATGACTGACGACGACGGGCGACGACGACGATACGACAGACGACGACGGATGACGACGGACGACGATGACGACGGACAATGATGACGACGACGACAACGACGGATGACGACGACGATGGACGACGACGGACGACGACGATGACGACGGACAACGACGACGGATGACGACGACGATGGACGACAATGGACGATGACTGACGACGACGACGACGCGACGACGACGATGACGATGGACGGACAACGGACAACGACTGCAGACGATGACTGCAGACGACGACTGCAGACGACGACTGTCAACTACGGACAACGACGACGACGGATGACGACGGACAACTACGGACGACGACAGATGACGACGGACGACGATGGACAACGACGACAGATGACGACGGATGACGACTGACAACTACGGACGACGACAGATGACGACGGACGACGACTGACAACTGCGGATGATGACGACGGACGACGACAACGGAGGACGACGACGGATGATGACGACAAAGGATGACAACGGATGACGACGGACAACAACATACGACTATGGACGACGACGACGGTGGACGACGGACGACAACAGAGGACGACGACAAACGACGACGATCGACGACAACATACGACTACGGGACAAATGACGGATGACGACAACGGACGACGACGGACGACGCACACACTTTTCATGTGTTTCATTTGCACACAGCTGATGTTTCATGTCCATGACCAGAGACCAATGAGGCTTTATCAGATCTGTGGAGAGGCGAGCCGCTCACTGATGCACCGTTTTAAAACTTACAACTGTAATGAAATAAAAGCTCCAGGTTCTGAATCGGATCCAGCTGCGCCCAGAGTCTCGGTGTCGCTCTGACGGAGCTCGATGGAGGATTTACGCAGCTCCATGTAAACGAAAACTTATTGAAAACGACGCCGTGAGCACCGTGTTATTTTGGAAAACGGAGGAAGGGAAATATTTGTTTCTCGACAAACCCGACTCTGTTTAAAACAAAGTCTGAGTTTGTGGATTTCGCAAAATGAGTGTCTCAAAAATACGTCACGGAGGATTTCAGTGAATCTGTTTGTAAAGACCAAAATACAAGGATCAAAACACATGAACAAACCAAAGACTCTGTAGATCTCTGAGCGTTTATGAAGTTTAACGAGACAAAAGTGACCCTGACTATGATCTTTACATTCTGGACTCATCTTTGTCCTTTTTTTTTTTTGCACTAAACGTCTGCAGTTTCTTGGCTCCTGTGGACTCGTCTCTGTGTGATCGTGTGAACGTGTGAACGTGTGAACAGGTTCTGGATGTGAATTCTCAAAGTGCCTTTAGTTTGTGTCCAGTGGAGTTTATTTATTTGAACATAATATTGAGAATAATGCTATATTTTCCATTATACCATATTGGTACAAAGACCATGTGTCCATGAGCTCGTGTCTGGTGTTTGTGACGACGCCGGAGTTTGGCTTTAAAACATTCGCCCGGTTTCACGTTAAAGGCCCGAGCCGCACGTGTCTGTGTCACGGTGCGGTTTCCTCATCGCAAGAGCTCTTCTCTCGGACTGAAAACGCTCTGTTCCACCTCGTGACGTCACCGGGAAGTGCTCCGCTGTGTTTTTAAACTCCACGCTCCGTCACGAGAATCGCCTGGATCACCTCAGTCCCGGAAATGTCCAAATCTGCCGAACTTAAAAGGTGTATTGTGTAACTTTTCTGATAGTAAACCTTTCTATTTTCATTTGAGATCAAACCAGACCAGGTTCCAGGTCAGGTCTGTGGAGAGGCGACCCCGATCACAGTCACAGTGTCGGTTTTTCGAAGTATTTTTGAGCTTTAAAATCACCTGTGAGTGAATAAACGTAAAGAAGAGCTGGAACATTTCAAAGACTAAACCAAGAACTGGACCAGGGACTAGACCAAGAACTGGACCAGGGACTAGACCAGAGACTAGACCAGAGACTAGACCAGAGACTAGACCAGAAACTAGACTAGGGACTAGACCAGAAACTAGACCAGGGACTAGACCAAGAACTGGACCAGGGACTAGACCAAGAACTGGACCAGGGACTAGACCAGAGACTAGACCAGGGACTAGACCAGAGACTAGACCAGGGACTAGACCAGAGACTAGACCAGGGACTAGACCAGGGACTAGACCAGGGACTAGACCAGAGACTAGACCAGAAACTAGACCAGAGACTAGACCAGGACTAGACCAGGACTAGACCAGAGACTAGACCAGGGACTAGACCAGGGACTAGACCAGGGACTAGACCAGGACTAGACCAGGACTAGACCAGAGACTAGACCAGAGACTAGACCAGAGACTAGACCAGAAACTAGACCAGAGATTAGACCAGAGACTAAGACCAGGGACTAGACCAGAGACTAGACCAGAGACTAGACCAGGGACTAGACCAGAAACTAGACCAGGGACTAGACCAGGTTTTGTGAGTTTGAGAGGTGATAGTCCAGCTCTTCTAAATTTAGTACAAAAAAACCACAACATTTTAAAGTCGTCATTTTGGGGCTGATTTTGGGGTCGACTCCTTGATTTGATCTAGTCCCTGGTCTGGTTCTTGGTCCAGTTCATGGTCTAGTTCATGGTCTAGTCCTTGGTCTAGTCGCTTGTTCAGTCCCTGGTTTAACCCTTGGTCCAGTCCCTGGTTCAGTCCACGGTCTGATCTCCCTGTTCCAGTCCTTGGTCTAGCCCTTGGTCTATCTAGTCTCTGGTCCAGTCTCTGGTCCAGTCTCTGGTCCAGTCTCTGGTCCAGTCCCTGGTCCAGTCTGGTTCCAGTCTCCGGTCCAGTCTCCGGTCCAGTCCTCCTTGGTCTATCTAGTCTCTGGTCCAGTCCTTGGTCTAGTCTCTGGTCCAGTCTCCGGTCCAGTCCCGGTCCCAGTCTCCGGTCCAGTCTCTGGTCCAGTCCTTGGTCTAGTCTCTGGTCCAGTCCCTGGTCCAGTCTCTGGTCCAGTCCCTGGTCCAGTCTCTGGTCCAGTCCCTGGTCCAGTCCTTGGTCTAGTCTCTGGTCCAGTCCCTGGTCCAGTCTCTGGTCCAGTCCTTGGTCTAGTCTCTGGTCCAGTCCCTGGTCCAGTCTCTGGTCCAGTCCTTGGTCTAGTCTCTGGTCCAGTCCCTGATCCAGTCTCTGGTCCAGTCTCTGGTCCAGTCTCTGGTCCAGTCTCTGGTCCAGTCTCCTGGTCCAGTCCTTGGTCTAGTCTCTGGTCCAGTCCTTGATCTAGTCTCTGGTCCAGTCCATGGTCTAGTCCATGGTCCAGTCCTTGGT